AGGGAGCCCGATGCGGGGCTCGATCCCAGGACCCTGGGATCATGACCTGAGCCGAAGGCAGATGCTTAACCAACTGAGCCACCCAGGCGCCCCTCTTTTTTGATTTTTAATGTAACCATTTGGTACGTCATGTTTTTGTATTCACCTCTAAGTGTTTTCTGATTTCTTTTGTAGTTTCTACTTTGATCCATTGACTGTTTAAAAGTGTATTGTTTGATTTTCACAATTTTGTGGAATTTTCAGTTTTACTTTTGTTACTGATTTCTAATTTCATGCCATTGTGGTCAGAGAAGATACCTTGTATATCTTTTAAAATCTATTCAGACTTAAAATCTGTGGCCTCATGTATTGTCTGTCTAGAAAATGTCCCTGTGCAGTTGAGAAGAATGTGTATGTATGCTGTTGAGTGTTCTGTTTATGTTTATTAGGTCTAATTGGTTTATTATGTTGTTTAAGTACTGTTTCCTTACTTCTGTCTGATTCTGTCCATTATTGTGGGTGAGGTATTGAAATTTCCAACTATTGGGGCGCCTGGGTGGTGCACTTGGTCAGGCGTCCGACTCTTGGTTTAGGCTCAGGTCATGAGATCAAACCCCACATCAGGCTCCAAGCTCAGCACAGAGTCTGCTTGAGGATTCTTCTCATTCTCCCTCTGTCCCTCAACTCCGCCCCCCCCGCCCCCATGTGCACATGTTCACTCTCTCTCTCTCTCCTTCTCTTTCTCTCAAATAAATAAATCTTTTTTTTTTTAAGTTCCTTTATTCAGTACATTATTATTTGACAGGTTGTGACCTATTTTTTCAGTATCATAAATAATACTATAGTGAATATTCTTGATTATTTCCTTAGGGAAAATTTTTAGAAATGGAATTTCTGAGTCCAAGGGTATGCATGTTTGGTTAAATATTTTTGGTGAATTAGGGGTGCCTGGGTGGCTCAGTCGTTAAGCGTCTGCCTTTGGCTCAGGTCATGATCTCAGGGTCCTGGGATCGAGCCCCGCATCGGGCTCCCTGCTCGGCAGGAAGCCTGCTTCTCCCTCTCCCACCACCCCTGCTTGTGTTCTCTCTCTCCCTGCTTGTGTTCCGTTTCTCACTGTGTCTCTCTCTGTCAAATAAATAAATAAAATCTTTAAAAAAAAAAAATTTTTTTTTGGTGAATTACACTCCGGAAAAGTTGTACTAATTTCTTATTTCTAAAACTATATAAGAAATTTCCCTATGTTTTCGCCAATACTTGGTATTTTTTCTTAATCTTTATAGGTATTTCTCACGAATAATTTATTACGAGAAGTTTTAAGCATAGAGTCAGGGTGACAGATTTTTACAGTGATCATCCATATACTCCCCACCTGGCTTCTACTATTAGCATTTTCTTATCCTTGTTTTATCACACATTTCTAGCTATACTTTTTTTTTTTTTTTTTTTAATCTCTACACCGGGGTCGCCTGGGTGGCTCAGTCATTAGGTGTCTGCCTTCGGCTCAGGTCATGATCCCAGTGTCCTGGGATCGAGCCTCGCATCGGGCTCCCTGCTCGGCGGGAAGCCTGCTTCTCC